TTATAATATGCTCACAAAATCCAATCTTTGATTTTATTTCATTATTCCATTATTTTAAATGATTTATTTTGATTTAAATGAATGAAAAATCAAAATAAATAATAAAAATAATAAAATAATAGGTGGATAAGTTCAGGGGTCGTGGGTCCTCTTAGGAATAAGTTTCAAACAAGAAAACATGGGCCCATTTTGAAGGAAAAAAATTAATTTTGATAAATGTTGACTTTGGGCAAATTTCCAAAAATGGCCAACTTTGATCATGCATATCTATCTCAATTTTGACCCTAAGAGGGTGTTCTTTGACTTTTTAGAAATATTAGGATGTCCTCTAAGCAACCTCTTTGGTTTAATCTCAATTGGATCTTCCATGTTCATGTAAGAAGCTTTGACCCAAAAGGTGTTTTTGTTGACTTTTTGAAATGACCTATAATGTCTGAATTGATATCTTTCATGAGTGCTTTTTTTGAACTTGAGAGCTGGAGATGAGTTGTAGGGAATTTAATTCTCTTCAAAATGAGCCTTGAATGAGAAATTTCTGATAAAGTATGAGAAAGTTATGGCTGGTCAAAGTTTGGTTGACTTTTCCTATAGAAACCCTAATTTATCAACTTTTGAGTTTTGATGAATTTGGGGAATTCCTTGAGGAATCATGATCAACCCTTGATCAAATGATGGATATTACTTCAAAATGTTTATGTTGACCAAAAATCTTGAAGTTTTATTGTATGAGGGTCATATTTGACTTTAGACCTAGCACCGTTGATTTTTAGGCATTTGAGCAGTTGACTGAGCAAACTCCTTGTGCAATGCATGAAACTTGGCATGGATGATCTTGAGAACATATTAGGGAAATGAAAGTCATTTAGGACCCTTGGAACTCAAACATCTTTATGAGGAGAGAAACCCTAGTTTGAAGCTCATTGTCTTAGAAGGAGGATTTGTCTGGTAGATCCTTAGTCAACTTGAGCAATTGATGACCTCTAGGAATATGTTTTGAGTAAAAATGGGAGGGAAAAATTTGTGGTACTTGCCTTTCATGCATATATCACATGACTTCTCAGGCTTCACAATCTTCAAAATACCATGTATAAGCTTCTTAGAACATAGATGCCCTAGGCTTCTATAGTTCAAATGCCCCAATCTCTTATGCCACAACTTACTGTCACCTTCAGTGCCTTCTGCACTAAGACACGTTGCTTCAGCTGTTTCTACATTCACTTTGAAATTTATGTTGCTTCCTTGTTCAGACTTCATAATCAACTGCTGATTGGAATCATACAACGTCAAGAGATTGTTTTTCATAACAACTGAGAAACCTTTCTCAATCAGTTGACCCACGCTCATCACGTTGCTTCTAATACCAAGAACATACCAAACGTCTTTGATCAGAATGTCTATCCCATTCTTCACTCTAACTCTGACATCTCCCATACCTTCTGCATTAAGATACTTATTGTCAGCACATCTGATCTTTGTTCTCCTTCTGGAGTCAAAGTCTGTCAGCCATTGTTTGTTTCCAGTTAAGTGATTTGAATAGCCAGTGTCCATATACCACCAATCTTCTGAGCATTTTTCATCATAATCAGAAGCCATTAGTAGCACAGGTTCATCATCAAAGTTTCTATTAGCCATATACGCTTCTTCTGATTTCCTTTCCTTGTTTGACCTACAATCTCTGGCAAAATGGCCAAGTTGTTTACAAGAGTAACATTGAACCTTCCTTTTGTCATACCTCTCCTTTCCTTTATGATATCTCTTATCATCAGAAGTTGAGGTTTCTGACTTCTGGGATCTGTCACCATGTTTATTCTGCTTCTGGTCTTTCTTGACAAAAGAAGCCTTCAGAGCTTGCTCAACTTCCCTTTCATAAGTTTTCTCAGACAGACGTAACTCCTGTGCTTCTAAACTGCTTTGCAATTCTTCTATTCTCATGGTTTCCAGATCTTTAGAATGTTCAATAGAAACAATAATGTAATCAAACTGAGGAGTAAGCGACCTCAGAATCTTCTCTATGATTACCTGTTCAGACATAGTTTCTCCACACGCCTTCATCTCGTTAGTGATCAGAATCACTCTTAAGATATATTCAGAAATTTTCTCATTGTTCTTCATGTTCAAGTTCTCATATTGCTTTCGCAGGGATTGAAGTTTCACCTTCTTTACTGATGCGTCACCACCGTAACATCTCACCAGTAAATCCCACGCCCCTTTTGATGTTGTTGAATCAGCAATTTTCTCGAACACACTTTCATCCACACACTGATGGATATAGAATAGAGCTTTCTGGTCTCTCTTCCTCATAACCCTCTCAGCAGTTTTCTGTTCTTCCGTTGCATCTGCTGCAGCTGGTACATAACCATCTGTAACCAGATCCAAAACATCTTGCGCACCAAACAGCACATGCATTTGTATCATTCATTTGTTCCAATTTTTGCCATTAAAAACTGGGAGTTTGGTGTTCAAACTACTGCCTCCACTCATTTTAAACCTTGCACAGATTTTTCAGATCATTAAACACACTGTTTCTCAACCCACAGAATCAGATTCTGTTCAGATTTTGTTCAAGATTTCAACAGAAAATCAATGAACCAAAATCAAACACACAGCTCACAATCACTCGTGTTTCTCAAGAAAAAACAGAACCAAGTGCTCTAGATACCAATTTGTTGGTGCAAGGTAATGAAGTGAGAGAAGAAGAATGAACAAGAATGATAACAAGACTACTGTTGTATATCAAAATAGAGGAGATAAAATTGGATACAATATTGATAGTCTAGTATAACATATTTATACTAAATATTGAAAATGCCAAAAGGCCTATTAAAGATAAGCATTGGGAATTGTAGACATTAACTAAATTATCTTTCCAATAACAATAACCCTCTTAACACCCAAAATTCTACTAATTATCCTTTCAACTACCAAAATCTCAACTATATATTTCAAAATCAATCTTCCAACCAACAAGGTTTCTAAAATATACCAAATTTTATAATGCCGTCATCTAATCCAAATTATCGTCCATATTATAGATATATAATGTCATATTCATCTCAAGCACCACCTTATTATTCTTCTACTCCAATGAGAAATGAAAATATTCCTAATGTTTGAGTTGATGAATTTCCTGATTTTTCTACACAAACGTCTCTTGGTGGCATGAGCGGTGGTCATGGAGCCACTCCAAATGCAGAGGATTCAACTCCTGTTCGTCAGAAAAGTCCCAAACGGACCACTGGTCAAAATTTAGTTCTAATTAGTGGATGGATTAAATATGGAACAGAGAGTGTTGTTGGAAGAAACCAAAAAAGTGATTCATATTGAAGTAAAATTGCTTATTACTGTAATGAGCATTGTTCATTTGATCCTCCCCGTGATAGAGCTACATGTAGAAATCATTACAACTACATGAACAAAATACTTAATAAATCATTATAACTGTGTATTGTATTGTATTTTAAGTTTTTTGTAATTACGAATATAAAATTACAGAAACAAAATTAAAATAAGTTTTTAAATTAAAAAAAAAAATTATTTAACTCTTAATTATTTTAATTTAATTTCAATTGATAATTATTATTAATATATAATCAAAAAACAAAAACATATATATATATATATATATATATATATATATATATATATATATATATATATATATATATATATATATATATATATATATATATATATATATATGAAATAAAAGTGGTGGGGTAAAGTGTTGTTATTAAAACAAAACTATTATAATGAGTCAAAGTTGAATGAGTGTTGAATTATTAGGTGGAAGAGAGAGACGATGATGTGGAATATAATAAATAGAAAAAATGAGTGTTGAATAATTTTACCATTGTAGATAATCTTATCCAAACACTCTTGATAAAAATACATTCACTTTATTAGACTTAATATTAATATTGTCATATCATCCTAAATACATTTATTTAAGATTTTAACATGTCATCATAGAATTATATATGACACTCCCCATTTTATTAGGATTTTAAGTTTATATCCTCAAAAAATTTGGGAAAACTAAAATTTTTATACTTATACCAAAAATTTGGATGGTTTAATGAAAATTCTGTAAAAAAATTTACTTATTTTTCGTAAAATTTTGTTATCTATTGAAATTTCAAATTTTCAGTGACGTTACAGTATTTATCGAAATTTTCATAATTTCTAATAATCACTAAAAAATTCTGAAATTTTCAAATTTTCGATAGTGTCTACAAGAGTTTTTTTTTTCAATTGATTTTCTCCATAAATGATAGGTTAGGCAAAATTTTCAATAAACTGGAAATTTGAAATTTCCAGAATTTTAGAAATGTATTAGAATTTTTGGAAAAATCTGATATAATCTACCAAAATTTGAAATTCCTATTACCAATTTGAAAATTTTCGAAGAAATCTGAAATACAAAAAATTTCTGATATTTTGACTCAAGCGATACCGAAATTTTCTGTTTTAAAATTTTTCATTAATAAATTTTTTTTTAAATAATTTTTAAAATTAATAGTAACAGAAATAATTTGATGAATACGAATATCCAGAAAAATTAATACTCAGGTGACATATTAAACCTCCAGTAGCTATACTAAATTCTTTAAACTTTGGTCCGAATTTTGAGGCTAAGACAATAAAAATATATATTAATTTTTAATTAGAATTATATTCGATTATAAATGTTTAGATGTGTAGGATGAGTTTTAATAAAATGTTAGAGCTGTAAAAGAAAAGTATAAAGGGTAAAATAGTAAAGTAAAAAGAAAGTGGGCGTTGAATTTAGAGTTATTAGAAGTTTTGGTTGAGAAGAAAAAACAGAGAAAATAGAAGGAAAGTTGAACAGAAATATACTAATAATAATAAATAGGAAAAAGCGAAAGCAAAGAAATAGCACAACTAAATTTAATCCATTCCTATGATCTTTCACCCCAAAATCACTCTCCATTTTTATAGTTTTTAACCGCAAGGAACAAAAACAAGAATACATGGAGAAAATGGAGGATGAATCTCCCAGAAGTAAAGTCAAATTCCTTTGCAGTTATGGCGGAAAGGTTCTTCCACGACCCTCCGATGGAGTCCTTAAGTATGTAGGCGGCGAGACTCGCGTCATTTGTATTCCTCGCGACGTAACTTTTGCAGGTATGAATATTCTATTCTATTCTATTCTATTCTATTAGAATGACAAAAGAAAATCATAATGATAATGTAGTAGTGTGTGTAATCAGATATGATGAAGAAGGTGAGTGGCGTGGTTGATGGCGAGGTGCTGTTGAAGTACCAGGTGATTCCTGAAGAACTTGATACATTGGTGTCTGTTAGAACACAAGATGATCTCAAGCACATGATCACTGAACTTGATCGCCATGAGAGTGCTGGATCGCCATTGCTTCGCGCGTTTTTATTTCCTTTGAAGCCATTGATACTCGTTGACAACCAGACTCAAATGCAAATGCAACAGCCACTTCCTGTTGAACCATATTTGTTAGAACAGCGTTATCTTGATGCCATCAATGGAATCATACGCCCAAGCCCGAGCTCTAAATTTGCGGCTTGCTCTGCGTGTTCTTCACCAAAATCAACCTCCCCGGATGGATGTACTTCCGGGGAATCGCCCTTCCACTTCCAAGGTATGCAGCAGTTACAGAAGGGTATGGTTTCAATGCAAAGAGTGAGAAGCTCTCCAAGTTTATCCAGTCTTACAAGCACCTACAATAATACACAACCGTTACAGCAGCAGACGCAACAGCATAATCATGGTATCAGTAGAAGTAGGAGTAGTCATTATCAACACCAGCACCACCCTCTTGTTGGACTTAGACCAATACAAGAACTAGGGTCGGGAATGGGGATGGGAAGGGTGTCTCCATCTCAGATGAGTTTGAATATGATGACAGATAATATGACTAGTAGCAGTAGCAGTAATAGAGGTATGAATTACTATTACTCCTTCAATGCAAACAGACCCCATAAAGCTTATGCATATCACGATGATTCAGTTGGTCATCTTGTTGTTGAAAGACTTCAATCAGTCCCCCGAAGTCCCAGAATGTACTTAGCTGAATGACACTATTATTTCATTCCTCTCCCCCACTTTTTTCAACTACTTTCTTTCACTCATTAGTTTATATATGTACACTAGAACATAAGTGTCGTGCGGTGTTGTAAATCACTAATAGTAAATATCGTTTTACATTTTACTAGATTGCTGACTTATTTGGTTCAACGATTGGTTGCTTACGTTTGCTTTTTATCAGACACTTCTTCACTTGGGGGTATCATTTATGTTCAACATGCAAACGAGATCATTCATGTTTTTGGAAGCAAAATACAAGTGACATTTAATCTGAAATGAAATATGCAGGGGTTGTATCTTCTTAGGTTTAGGAAAATTTATCTTATTTTTTCTGATATCAAATTACAACATTTTCAGCCTGTAAAATCCATCCACAATACCTGTAACTCAGACAAAATTTCCCAAAGATACAGAAACGTGTGCGTCAAATGAGCACCTATTATAATAAACAAATAAAGTCTAATTATATTAAGAGAACAACCGCCCGCACTCAATTGACAAAAATCCCTAAGAATTTAGCACAAAAGAAGCATAAAATAAAAATAATCCTATTCAATAATCTCTATAACTCATTTAGAGTCGGTAAAATCGGCATCAATCACATCTCCTTCAGGTCCCTCCTTGCCTGAGGATTCTGAAGGGGCAGACTCGCCACCAGGTGGTGTAGGTCCTGCTTGGCCTGCAGCTCCAGGTTGGTTATATAGAGACTGACCAAGCTGCATAACTTCCTGGTTGAGGGCAGCCAAGGCATCTTTAATAGTTTGAGTTGAACCACCGCTAATAGCTTCTTTAAGTTCTCCCAGTTTAGCTTCCACCTTTTCTTTAACAGGTACAGGAACCTTCTCTCCTAGCTCTTTCAATTGCTTCTCAGTCTGGTAGACAACAGAGTCCGCCTGGTTCTTGGTGTCTATTGCATCCCTCTTTTCTTTGTCCTCTTTTGAAAATCTCTCTGCCTCACTGACCATTCTCTCAACCTGCAAATCATTCAAGAGATAAGCATCAGAACAGTTTCCCGTTATAATCATATGAGGATGGGTCATTCACAAATTCATCCAGTAATGGTAACAGAAGATACCTCATCACCAGGCAAAGTGCTGGCACCAGTAATGGTAATATCTTGTTTCTTCCCTGTACCCTTGTCTATGGCAGCAACCGATAGAATACCATTTGCATCAATGTCAAATTTCACCTCAATTTGAGGAACCCCGCGAGGTGCGGGAGGGATACCGTCTAAGCGAAAGCTACCAAGAGATTTGTTGTCCCTAACAAATTCTCTCTCGCCCTGAAGGACATTGATTTCTACACTTGTCTGCCCATCAGCAGCAGTAGAGAAAACCTCTGATTTTGAGGTGGGAAGGGTAGTGTTTCTTGGAATAATCTTGGTCATCACACCACCAAGAGTTTCCAAACCCAATGACAGTGGAGAAACATCCAACAGCACAATGTCACTGACATCTCCAGCCAAGACACCAGCCTAAAACCAACCAAAATTAAACATAAGGAAAGTGATAATAATAATAATAATAATAATAATCAACAAATAAAATACAGTACCCAAACAAATATTTTACTAGCACTTCAATCAAACAAACATTAATTCCTGCTTCCCTACAGCTTAATTTAAATTGGAAAAACTGCACCGTTGGACTGTGAGAAAGGCTAGCCCTACCTGAACAGCAGCTCCAAGGGCAACCACTTCATCTGGATTAACAGTGACATTTGGGTCCTTCCCAATCAACTTCTTCACGAGCTCCTGAACAGCAGGAATACGTGTTGACCCACCAACAAGAATCACCTCATCAATGTCCTTAATTGAGAGCTTTGCATCCCTCAATGAATTTTCCACTGGTGTCCTAAGTCTGAAACACAATTCATACAAATATTACTATATATGAATAGTTAAAGCTAGAATATCTGTTTGTAACACTCAAGCTCAGGAACAGGGTATTTTAAATTAGAGGGTGAAAATAGATTCAGCAAGTTATTATTGTTACCTGTCAAGAAGATCTGAACATAATTCTTCAAATTTAGCCCTTGTAAGAGTGGTCTCAATATGTTTGGGGCCATCTGCTGTGGCAGTTATGAATGGCAAACTGAAAACACAAATACCAATAGCTCAGTAATTCACACAAAGGTTACAAAGCACACTCGAAACTCCAAGAATTGGGTGCAAATTTGCTCCATGACAAAGCAAATACCTGATGTTTGTTTGAGTCAATGATGAAAGCTCCATTTTTGCTTTCTCAGCTGTCTCGGTAAGGCGCTGAAGAGCTTGTTTGTCTTTCAAAAGGTCTATACCTTCATCTCTCTTGAAGTCACCAGCCAACCAATCAACAACTCTCTATAACCAACAGATGAAAATAAGGAACGATCAGCAAACATAATGTTCATCACAAAGTTAGCCACTTATAATGATTATTAATACAAAAAAAAGCAAGGAAGACCAAGTCCAACCTTATCAAAATCATCACCACCCAAGTGTGTATCTCCAGAAGTAGACAGCACCTCAAACACTCCGTCACCAACCTCAAGCACTGAAACAAAATGAAATACCAATAAGCATACATATCTCAAACCCCATCAAATCAAAAACAGTAAGAAAGAGACTCTTGGAATACCTGAGACATCAAAAGTACCACCTCCAAGGTCAAACACCAAAATAGTTTCATTGTTTTTCCTTTCAAAACCATAAGCCAAGGATGCAGCAGTTGGTTCATTGATAATTCTAAGAACTTCAAGACCAGCAATCCTTCCAGCATCCTTGGTAGCAGTTCTTTGAGAATCATTGAAGTATGCAGGCACAGTAACCACAGCCTTAGTTACTTTATCATTCAAAAACTTGGAAGCATCATCAACAAGCTTCCTCAAAACCTATAAAAATATTTAAATTATCATGAAACACACATAAGATAAGATATGAAGAACAGTTAATGGGAAAAGAGAAATGAAAAGTACCTGAGCAGAAATCTCTTCGGCTGCGAAAGATTTACCGATAGCGGGACAATCAAGTTTGACGTTACCGTTATCGTCTCTGATAACTCTGTAAGAGACCTGCTTAGACTCTTCGTCAACCTCGGACATCTTCCTTCCAATAAACCTCTTGACGGAGAAAAAGGTGTTCTCGGGATTGACAACGGCCTGCCTCTTGGCAATTTGACCGACCAACCTATCACCGTTCTTGGTGTACGCCACGACAGAGGGAGTCGTTCTCTGACCTTCGGCGTTGGTGATAATAGTCGGTTTTCCACCTTCCATGGCGGCGACGGCGGAATTGGTGGTTCCCAAATCGATACCGACGACTTTCTCATTGACGACTCTGAGGGTAAAACCCTTCTTGAACGTTTTGCTACTCAGTTTGGGGAATGCTGAGCGGGTGAAGGGAGAGAAATTGGAATTGAGACGTTGACCGAAGAAAAGGGTTTTGGAATTGCTGGAAATAGAAGAGGGTTTTTTAAGGGAAGAGAAAGAAGCGGTTCCGAGACCGTGGATTTGAGCAGTGGAAGCCATGAGTGAATGAGTGAAAAGATAAGATGAAAGAAACCCTAAACCTAATTTAGGTTGTTGATAAGCAAGAGTGTAACGAAAATGAAGAAAATGGGGAGGATGAGGGTTGGTTTATAATGTCATATGTGGTTACACGTATTCTAGAATCATCTCATGCTTTCTCGTTCATTTTTATCCCTTAGATTCAAATATAATCCATGGTCCTTTTTTGGTGGCCTAATCTACAGGCCAATTTGTTTCTTGTTCCATCACATATATTATTTGTGTCAAAATAATTTGCCAAAATTTTTTTTATCAATAATAATAATAATAGTTATTTAAACTATTAGTATTATTATTATAAGTATTAGTTGATACAAAACTAGCAAAAACAGATTAACTTATTTAATAATATCATATGGAGTATATTTTAGGGGTATTATCATTTTACTTTCTCTGTCATATAGGTCATTTTTGGTTTATTTTTTTGTAACTCGCTCTGATGTCAATTGTAAGTATAAGGTTGACATAAGAGGGGGGTGAATTAGGACTTTTAAAATTATTTTTGATTTTATGAATTTTTGATCTTTCTTTTCTGGTTTTTGGTTAAGTGATGAAAGCGATAAAATGCGGAAAATAAATAATACAAAGATATATCCTAGTTCCCCCCACAGTCCAAGGTACTTCAGTCTCATTTCAACACGAAAGAGATTTCACTATAGTTAGAATGATTGTACAGCCTATTCACACCAATTGTGATGCTTAGTATCTAACCTATATGGAGATCAAAGGTTATTAATACTTTTAAGATTTGAACACTAAGTGCAAGAAGAACAAGCATCTTCAATGCACATACTTGCTTTCAACAATTCTGAATAACAAGGGAAGTAATAATGTATTCTGAATTTTTACAAGAGATTTTGAAATATAATACAATATATTAATCTTGGATTGATTTTCTCCTTCAAGCAAAACAATTCTCAATAATGGATACAAGTGCTCACAATGATGATATGAAACTTAGAATAATTTTTAATAAAAAAATGAGCGCATAAAGTTTTAATAAAAATCTAGTTTCAAGTGTAGAACACTTGAAAATTTGAAAGATAAAGAGTTTATGTAATTTGAATTATAGATTGAAAGGAGGTTCAAAATAATTCTGAAATTATGAGTTTATATAAGCTTCTATACAGCCTTTCAAAATGGTATGATTCAATAGAAAGACGCAATGCTTCATAAACAAAACCACACAACTTTTCTATTTTTTAAAACTTTAAAAATTTCACATTATTTTGATGGTAACCGGTTCCCATAAGTGGGTACTCGGGTACCACCTTTCTCAACGTTAAAAATTTCAAAATCAATATTGAATAATCGGTTCCCATATATGGGTGATCGGATTCCCCAAGACATAATCATTTATTTTTGAAAAATAATACAGGATAACCGATTCCCATAATTGGGTAACCGGGTTCCCTAAGATAGTTTTGAAAAATTACTTTGAAAAAATATGTGAAACATAAAGTTGTGATTTATAAAATATGTTTGAAGATTTATGGCATGCATGAAACATTGTTATAAACACTTGTATGCATATAGAGAGGTTGAATGCTTTATACCTTGACATTTGATTTGTCCACACAATATTTCTTCAAGACTTTGATAAATTTGACTTGATTAAGATGTCTTGACTTGAGTTATTCCATTTTACAATCAATGATAGTTTGTCTTCATCAAAACTCTTTAGGAAGCTTGTCTTCACATTCTCCCCCTTTTTGATGATGACAACACTTGCTTGAAATTTTTGATGCATCTTGATTTCTCTATCAATTTTGAAAACTCCCCCTAAATCAAAGACTCCCCCTTGATTCATACATGAGAGTTTTCTTTGAAATAATCTTGTTGCACTTTCGTTAGAAAAAAAATAGAACACAAACAATAATTCTTCTCCCCCTTTGTCATTAGCAAAAAAGAATGGGGAAAGAAGAAAACAAAACATAGTACAACATAAAAATATAACACAGCACATAATGATGTGATTAAACATAACATACAACATAAACTAGTTTCAAACGAAAAGCAAAAGACATGAAATCGTTCTAGCATTAAACATAAAACATAGAAATAAGAAAGACTTAGACACTAGAAATATAAAGAAGTAAAACATAAGAGTTTTGGTTTAGCCACATTCTTCCATATCCTCATCAAATTCCTCCTCTTTTTTATCTTCATCATCATTTGCTTCCTCTTCTGCCATTTGGTTCTTTTGGGCTTTGATAAGCTCTTTCAACTGTCGCTTAAAACAAGCATGTTCAAATTGATTTTCCCTATGGTTTCAAGCAACAATATGTTCCATGGAGCATAGTTTATTAAAGAGGAGTTTCAAAGTGTATCCACCTTCCATAACCAGAGGAGGAGCATCGGATGCAGAATCTTCTTTGTAAATAAACTTGCCTTCACGGTCAAATATGATACCAGTGTTTTTTAAGGCGGTTTTATCATTAATCTCATAGTCTTTGTCAGTCATGATTACATTTGGATCTCTTTTTAAGCTAACTTCAGCATGTTCAAGGATTTTTGTAATAGCCCTAGCATAGGGTAAACCATCGGTTAGTTGACGTTGATGCTCCATATGGTGCATGATGGTGAGTGCCCAATTAACCGGAAGATCTTTCTTGATAGAATAAAGTGCCTGCAATTCCAACTCATTGATGCAGGAGTGATTTGAATGCTTCGGGAGAAAAACATAAGCAATGATATAGTGAAGCATTCTATCACTAACAGATAAATTGGAACCAAACATGATGAATTTTGAAGATGGGGGAATTTGCACCGCAACACTGGGTGGAAAAGAGACAGAAGAAAGAAAACCTGGCGAGAATATGAATTTGTATAATTGATATATTATTGACGCCTTACGATAAGGTGAAGGTTGAATTGAGATTTTTGTTAAGACTTTATAAGGCCATAGTATATTATGTTGACGCCTTATGTTAAGGTGAGATCTGGTTGATAAAATATGTTGTTGTTAATCATACTTTTTGTGTCCTTTTAATGGATATGTTTATTTGTAAGTTTTTGGTACGATGAAAACTCAAATAGGCAAAATATGCGAGCTTTGGATTTGTCTAACAAGGAGAAAAATGCAGAAAATCGCATATAGACATAGAAGGTGATTAACCGTCTTGTTTCATGTGTAGCTTGCGTTTCGTAAGTCCGTTTAAGGTGTCTTTGATTGCATTAGAAAGCTAACGTGATAATATTTATTTTGAAGTAGGGAAGTTGGGTCTACAAGCACTACAACAGTAACTGTTCTCTGGTTTTATACCATAGGCGTAGTCAAATTTCAGTTCTACGTTGGTCATCTTGTTTCACGCAAAAATTGAGTTTCGTAAGTCTGTTTAAGGTGTGGCCAGTTGCATTAGAAAGAGGGTTTAACATCTTTTAAACTGGAGAGCTTCACAATTTTATTATAAGCCTATAATTTTTTGTGCTATTTTGAAGTCAAACATTCTGCTTTAGAGTTTATGCAGGAAATATTATGATATGGCTGAATTTAAATGAATAGAACTGGAGTTTTGTAACTCCTATAGAGATGCAATAAATTGTGTTTGAAATAGGGTTTAAAGAAATTCTAAATCGTAGAGTTTCATAATTTTATCACGAGTCTATAATATTTGGGGCTATTGTGAAGTGAGACAATTTTAGAGTTAAGTCTAGAGTTTTGGGAAACCCTTTATGAATTTAAGGAATTGAATATATTCATAAATAATTTTAATTTTATTAGTTTAATATGTTTAGAGTTGAGTTTGAGTTATTTGATATGTTTAGAGTTGAGTTTGAGTTATTTGATATTTTTAGAGTTGAGTTCGGGTTATGTATAGTTAAAAGAGTTAAGTAGTGAATTGTTTGATGAGTTAGAGTTGAGTTTGATATGTTTTGAGTTTTTACTTTTGCAAATATTTTATGGTTAGAGTTAAGATGAGGTTTATGAGAGAAATTTCCCATGAGGCGGTGAGACATTTTTGGAGTTTAGGGCAGGGGCTATGATCATCCCTTGTCAATCTGCAGAGAAATAATTTTAGAGTTAAATTATGAGTTATTTGACGAATTGAAGTTGAGTTGATTTTGTTTAGAGTGTTGGAACAAATTTGGTTTGTACCATATCCTTGATGTTTTAAGGATAACAAAGTATTTAACAAACAATTGGATATATTAATGTGTTCAAGTGTGCAAGTATACAGATTAGTATACTGATTGAAACTCAATTCTGATAGTGCACTAAACATCTAAAGAGAAGCTCTAAAGATGAAATTCTGAAGATCAGACTCAAGAACAAGCTTCTGATCAGGTCATCTTTTGATGATCAGAACCTGAAGATTCTAGACTCTGATCAAGTCATCTTCTAATTATCAAAACCTAGAGATTCCATAATCTGATTAGGTCAACTTCTGAAGATCAAAGTCAATATATGATGAACCAAAGTCTAAAGCATCAAAATCTAAGACTCTGGCACTAAAGGATCAGAACCTGAAGCCAGTCAAAGATCAATAACCAAGGAAAGCTTGAAAGTTCACTATCATGCTTTGAGGTAAATTTGTCTTCTTCTGATCACGTGAGTACTTAGAAGAAATTTGCAGAAGACTGAGGAATTGCAACTGATAGTTCCTTTTGTAGAAAAGGAGTTTCAAATGGCATTGTAATGACATTAACCATATCCAGAAGCTTTCCAACAAATTTGCCTATGCTTCTCTCCGAGACTCACTTGTGCAATAAGTCTTCTCCAATATCTCTTTGCTAGTTCTCTATAAAAGGAATTGAAGACTTGGAGAAATTATACAAAACTGCGCCTTGAAAATTAAAGAGTTGTTACTATGTCACATCTATAACACAAGCTTAACTTAGAACTTTTACCAATTGTATGTTCTTAGAAGTTCTTAACTCTTAGGATCTTTTTGTGTTGTATTTTGTCTACACCTATAATTGTGTGTCAAGTGTATCTTATCTCATTCTCTTATCTATTT